TTTGCTGCTGGTAAAAAAAAAATCAAATTTAACGGAACTGGAGACAAACTAATGCAACTTCTAGAGCAGCCTCTTGATTAAAGTATTTTTTTTTTAAGTCAAGCGAAGCGAGTCAGTTTTAATGGGTCAATTAAATCTACATAAACATGCACAGGGACTATAGTTCAACAGGAGAGGCTCATGCTTTGCACACAGAAGACTCCCGGTCCACTCCCCGGGAATCACTCCCAGTTCTGCAAAAAGCAGAGGGTACAAAAAATGCCTCCCGCAAATCCTGGATCGCGGCTGCCGGCCAGAATAAGCCATACTAGACTAGGCTGACAAATTGCAAAGGCAAGTCTCTTCTGCTTTGGGATGATAAAACGGCAGCAGATAAGAAGAAATCGAACTGTGTTTCTAGATGGTGGTGCCTCTTGACCAGAGATTCAGAGATGATCTCCTGCCTCTCAGGAATCAGGCCAGCTGGGGACCACGGAAGTTATACTCCATCCCATCTGGAAGATGCCCAGCTTGGGAGCAGCTGATTTTAAAACACAAGTCCCTGCAGGTTTTCTCGACACCACCAAGCATTTGAGAAAATGGGATCAGACCAGATCTAAGTGGGGGACCCAGAGAGGTGGGGAGAGCACAGCTTCTGTTTTGCTGAGGTCTGGAAGAGCTCACTGCAGGCGCTCCACATCTCCTCTGGCCAGGCTGTCCGTCCATCTACAATTACTCAGAGGAGAAGAGCGTTTGTGGGGCCAGAAAGTCACCTGGTCAGGTGCAGGGAGCTGATCGGGGAGGGGCGCGGGTGCTCTCCCCTCTCTGGAGATGCCCCCCTCTTGGGACTTCTGCCCTCCACCTTTTCTGCCTGGCGCCCCTTTCCTCCTGCTTGAACAGGTTCTTTTTTTTACAGGCTCAGAATAATAATCAAGTGTTTATTTCCGCAATATATTTTAAGGACTCGTCTTTTTTATATAGGCACGTTTTATCTCGCAATCCTTGCCTTGTAATGCGATCATTTTATAATTAATATTTTTATGTTGCCATATTCTCATGTTTATAAAGCTTACTACCTGCTCTGAGCCCCAATAGATGTGCTGGTTTATAAATTGGAGGAAGTAAAAAGTTGAAAGTTAAAAATTAATACAGTCGGAGGTGGTTTTTTTAAAAAATATCTAAAGAAAAAAAGAAGAGAAAAACCGCAGACAACGGATGCATTCATCACAACCACAGGTGGCGGCTGCCGGAGCGACCATGTTGTGGTTCCACCAACTCATTTCTTCCAGAAATGAACTTCTGATAGAAACCAGAAGCAAAAAAGGGAAACAGCAAAAGGGCCAGGAAGAGGCCACCTGCTGTGCCCCCAAATTAGGTGCTTCCTGGATGTTGCAAGGTGTTGATAAAACCAGGGATTTTAGGAAGAACTGACACGGCTGGGGCCGAACACCCCTCCTGAGCGTATATCTGCAGAGGCACCGTTGCCAGGATTCTGGAGGCAGCCCCTTGGGACATGCTGTGCTTTAGGTGGCCCCATTTCGAGCAATCATGTCCATGTTCAGCTAACCAAGAAATTGGGTTTCCGTCGTTTCCTTTAAAAGAAATGGGACTCAAAACAAAAGGAAAGAAAGAGGGAAGGCTGCCTTCTGGCTGCTTCCGAGAAGCTCCGCTTTGTGCAGCAGCCTAGTGCTGAGCTTGTAACCAGTGACTGTTATTTTAAAAAATATATATCTGTGAATGGTGGTTGAAGGGGGGGAAAAAACAACCCTAAATTCACAGATATCTCTAAGGGCTGACTTCTACACTCAGAGAGATGCGGAATGAACCCCTTGAATGAGAGTGATGTGCAAGGTATCTGTGGCTGGGACTAGGAACACGAATTGACCGCAGAGGAGGAGGAGGAGAAGGAAGTGAGTCTAGGAGTGCCCATCTACAGACAGATTTAGAAAAGACAAATGGGTAATACAAATGTGGATCCACCTGACCACCTCTTTGTTGACCGGTTCCCCGGCCTCCACTGGCTCAACCATTGATTCAGATCCCCCGGGACATGCTCCCCCGATCCTCCTGGACCATGTGGTTGTTAAATGCCATGTAGGCATCCTTCAGTCTCAAGAGACTATGGTATCGTGCTCTGTATGGAGGTCTTGGAACAGTGTCTTGTGTGGCTTTATGGCCTTATTCGTGTATACTGCAATACCCAGAGTGACAGACTAGGACTCAGGGGGCCTGGGTTCGAATCTCCACTCAGCCACGGAAGCTCACTGGTGGGCGTGGAGCTAGTGCAATTCATATACTACCCCCTCAATCCCACATCAGGTTCAGGGTGCAAAAGAAGGGAAGTCCCCGGGGTGCACATATTTTTCAGCCTGCTGTATCTCTTGAGGAGAATCCTGCTTCAGAAAGGGCATCCATCCGTTCTGAACACAGTGGGTCTATTATGCTTTCTTGTAGCTGAAAAGTCTGCATTCTTACAAACCAGAAGTTTCTAAAAGTTGTTTTCCAACAGCACCTCCCTCCTGGGAAGTTCTGGGAAGAGAGAGAGAGAGAGAGAGAGAGAGAGAGAGAGAGAGAGAGAGGGAGAGAGAGAGAAATAGAATACGGAGC